TCTGAGGCCCAGACCAGAAAAGGTTGTAGCGCCATTGATTAATTAATTAATTTATTATTAGATATAATTATTTTTATTCAAGAGCACTACAGATGCTGGGAGAAGGATAGCGGAAAAAAAATTAATCCCATTCTACTTCCATATGAATGAGGTAAATCAGTATATCATGTCATATGTTGTATTAAACCACTAAATGTTATTATGAGTTCAACAAAAGACACAAAAAAATTAATTATTTACAAAGTAACGTACAGTTTAATTTCGCATGTGACGTTGTTTATTATTATGTTGCAAATTTGAATGTTGTTAAATCACTGTTATTTCGTCGTCATCAATATTTATTTTTTATAAAACAACAAATCACTCTCACCTGATAATCATTGGATTTAAATAACGACCTATATAAAAATAAATTATAAAAATTGACCTTTACAATCTCGAAACATTGATTGAGACAGCCCCTAAAGTACTTAGTTGAGTGGAATCTTAACATTTCACGTCTGACGGATTATCTAAGAGGATCGGTTCCAATGTAATCAAGTAAAACCTAAAATCCTTTAGAAATATCTGTGGAATAAATAAATGTTTACTCCACTTCTGTACAAATTAAATCCATTATAATGAAGATATTTAAAGAGTACTTCGGAGACCGATGACTGGTCTCGGTACGGTTAAGTCGTGACCTAGCACTAAGTACGACTCCCGTAAAAACCTATTTATTTATTAAAGTATACCATATCACATATAGAACATTATGTACAGAGTAATTTACAGTCTATCTATTCTAAACTACACCGTAGATATCATTACGGTGGAGATAAATTATACATTATACGCCACAGGGACCAAACTTTTTAAATTTGTTTTGATTTTACTTTTTTTTAATTATTCATATAATTACTGTGTAGGTTAAGAAAACTGTAAATACTGTATACTTGATTGTAAATAAAGATAATATATAAATAAAAATAACTATTTTTTTTATTTACTTTAAGTACATTAATGCTTGAATTATACAAATAATAATAAAAATATACACTTCCAAAATAGAGAAGAAAAAAATAATTTAGCACACACATTTTAGTTATTGCCTATTTACAAATACCTATTCGCCTAATGCGCTTTTTACGCTTTTTTTATTGATCAGCCCACTACTATTGTGTTGTATTCGCTAAGAATTCGAATGAGAGGTGCCTAAACTCCTAGGTTGGTTTGTTCATACCATTTAATAAGCACCAATAGTTTATGCCATTAAGATCACTTGAACAAGAGCAGCGTCAGAGGCAGTTTTATTTATTTATTTTTATTTTAGCTTCAGAAATTTTTAAATCATCAGCGAAGAGAGTTGCTCTACAGAATTTTATATGATTCCTGATGACGTCGTTTACAAATACCAAAAAGAGTAATGGCCCATTTAGAATCTTTGGGGAACACTAAACTCAAACTCAAACTCAAACTCAAAATATCTTTATTCAAGTAGGTAACCAAGTACACTTTTGAATCGTCAAGTTAAATTAATCGTAAATTTACATTTACTACCAGTTCGCAAGTCAAGGGCGTAGAGCGGGTAAGAAGAACTGGCAAGAAACTTTCCGCCACTCTTTTTAATCGCCAAGTATTGTCATACAAATTGTTTGAACTGGAGCAATTCAATCCCAAGGATTAGGATCATTTAAGTAGTCCTCAAATTTATAAAAAGCTTTGTTGATTAATTTTCGTTTAACGAGGGCTTTGAATTTATTTAGTGATAATTCTCTAATTTCGCTTGGGAGCTTGTTGTAAAAACGAATACAATTTCCATATAAGGAGTGGTTTATCTTTTGGAGCCTGGTTGGTCGTACACTCAAATTAGTTCTATTTCGCGTATTATACTGGTGAAAGTCACCATTTGTTTTAAAATCGTTTATATTTTTTTGGACATACAACCAGATAGTGTCATAATATTTAATTCCTTAAACTTATTCCGTACCGACTCCCTCGGAGAAACACAACAAATACCCCGAACAGCCCGCTTCTGCAGCACAAATATGGATTGAACCTCTGCAGCAGCACCCCACAGTAAAATGCCGTACGACATAACGCTATGAAAGTAGCTATGGTACACAATTTTAGCCGTGTCCTCATCAGTAAACTGTCGGATTTTCTTTACTGCATATGCTGCAGAGCTCAGCCTATTCGAAAGAGTCTCTATGTGTGGGCCCCATTGGAGTTTACTATCTATTGTTATGCCTAGAAAAACAGTTTTGTCAACAAAGTTTAGTTCACTGTCCTTAATTTTCAGGTTACCAATATCTCGCTTTACGCTAGTAGTTGTAAATCTAATACATTTTGTTTTATTCTCATTAAGCAATAAGTTATTTACATTAAACCAGTTAACTATACGAGAGATAGAATTGTTTACATCGTCCAATAATACGTTATTCCTATTCACTTTAAATAGAAGTGAAGTGTCATCAGCAAACAATACCATCTCATGAACTTCGTTGACAAAGAATGGGAGGTCATTTATGTAAATCAGAAATAAGAAAGGCCCGAGAATCGATCCTTGGGGGACGCCCATTGATACCTGCGAACCCGGAGAGGTGACTCCATTGACATGAACTCTTTGGATCCTTCCCTTTAAATATGAATTCATCAGGCTGGAAGCTTTGCCATCAACGCCATAGTGTTGAAGCTTTCCAACGAGTATATCAGGATGAACACAGTCAAAGGCCTTTGACAGGTCACAAAAGACGCCGACTCCATCATATGATTCTTCCCAGGCGTTAAATATGTCCGAAATCAACTTCACACCGGCATCGATTGTGGAGCGACCCTTAGTGAAACCATACTGTTTATTATGTAAGAGTTTATTTTTATTAAAATGTAAAGAAAGCTGGTCTAGCATTATCTTTTCAAAAACTTTGCTCAACGCAGGGAGCACGGAAACAGGTCTGAAGTTTGACGGATCAGACTCACTACCGGCCTTGAACAACGGTGTAATCTTACTTAATTTCATTTCGTCCGGAAAGACTCCACAATCGATACATCTGTTAAAAATTATAGACAATTCAGAGCTTATTACATTAATAACGGAATTTAAAATGACTGTTGACATACCCCATATATCTTTACTTTTTTTTAAATTAATAAGCTTAAAAGTTTTAACGATATCATTACAAGTTATATGTTTAAACTGAAATTTAATATTACATTCAGGTACACATTTTTCTAGCAATGAGATCGCAGCAGCAGGTGAAGAATCTAGGGACTTGGTCGTATTTAGTGGTACATTTGTAAAGAACTCTTCAAAAGAAGAAGCTACCTCTGGGTCAGATTTTATTAACTTCCCTTTAACTTTTAACATATAATCAGTTCGTTTGTCAGACGTTTTACCTGATTCTTCATTTATTATTTTCCAGGTAGCTTTTACTTTATCCATGCTATTTTTTATTTTTGAACTTAAATATTGAGACTTTGCAGTTTTGCAATCTTTTTTGAAATTATTTGAATACAACCTAACATATTCCCTAAATTCCACACTAGTGTTATATTGCATTTCGTCATAGATTTCATATAATTTTAACCTTTTCCTGTGTAACTCCTCATTTGCCCAGTCACAGAAACTTGTTTTCTCAGAGACCAATAAAGTCTTTTGAGTAAATACTTTCTTGAATTCATCAATAAACTAGATGGTGGATTGTAGGGAGTAGACCAGTGCCTCCAACAACTACTGACTGAGGCCTCCTATGAAGATATGAATTGGAACGCTTTAGTATGTTTTCTCCAATTCCATAACTACAAAGATTTTGAATCAAGATTAGGTAACTGACTTAGTCAAAGGCATTGCTAAAATCAGTATATATTGCATAAATGCGCCCACAATCTAATCCCGGATATGTTTCGAGGAAATTTGAGAATAGACATTGCTAATATCACCTGGAATGGAACCGCCAACATTCAATTGATCACAAATATGATATGACATGATAAGCAAAATCAGGTGATGACTGGGCTGTTACATTGTCCAGTTTCAGGCAAAGGGGAAGCGACGAATGACCACTTTTCTTATTTTTTATAAAACTCTAAACACATTTAGAATTATTGGGAATATTTGCCTCTATATTTCACTTATTTGTAAATATTTTAGCAATTATCGTAAAGTTTATGACAAAGTTTACACCGCTTGTATATGTAACCAGAACTATAATTCTAGCAATACGCGAGGGCGATAAATCTTAGCTTGACGACATGTGAATGTATGGTTAATACATTATTCTTAAGCTAGTGACTTCACACTGGTAGATAGGAAGGTCGATAAGTATTTAATATTATTCTACTAATTCTGGAAAATTATAAGATGTGTAAATTATTCACAGTCGAACTTTTTTAGTATTAAATCTAGTGCCCAAAGCTTTTATGATATTTAGAACACGTCTTCTAAAGGCCGTGGTTTCGGTCCCGACGGGGTATTTAATTTAATTAGTCTCGGGGCGCAGTCTATTTAATTACTTGAAGTACGCACTTTTAAGCATTTCAGTAATAAGTAAATTACATTACTTACTTTACTTAAGTAATCTTTGTTGGAAGTTATGGCTTATATACTTAGTTTTATGATTAAATTTAAAAAACATTGTAACATTTATATGAAATTAGATATCTCTCAGATAGTGACACAACTTTATCGTATTGATTTTTACAGTCAATAAAACATAAAACAAAAACATCGGTTTCGAATATTTTGACAGTTATTATAATTTATTACCTATACAGAACTAATTATAAATTTCGAAGAACTTAGTTTGTTCATTATAATTCTCCAGCAATATTATTATATGTTTAAGCCGACGAAGTAACGAAAGTTGCGTATACTATGCAGTGTGTACAGTAAAATATTGCTTTGCCAGGAATCGAATCAGCCTCTGGATATACAACATTATATTTGCTCACTTCTATTATCATATGAAATCAATGTGCAACAGAGTGAGATATATTAATAAATTGTTTTGTTTCAGCTCAACATGCAGGTATCATGGGTGCGACATAGAGATATCCACCTTCTGACAGTTGGCAGATACACATACACCAGCGATCAGCGGTTTCGAGCGATACATTTACCGCACTCAGAAGACTGGACTTTACAGGTGATACATTTTAAAAAGTAGAATTGTTCGCGGCTGTACTCGCATTAAGATATTGGAAGGCATACTAATGGCATTGAAAGGAAATACAGAAAGTATTTTAGTACCTGTGCTACTTGTGGTGATTGTTCGGACTTGAATTCGTGTATGCGGTGATGTTAGTTATTTCGACTATGTATTTGCGTGTCGTTCCCACGAGAATGAAAAAGCGTGCTCCTATTTCACCATGCCACCTGCTGATGGAGGAGAAATCTTTGTTTTTAATTTATTTTATTATTATTATTTATTAACTATTAGTAACTTATGATGTCATGTGGAACATGGTGTAATGGTTGCAGCTCCTTACAAACATTGTGTAAAACAAAAATCTGGCCATTAAAAAAAGTGACGGAGAGTTTAGTGCCAGTTCTTCCCTTCCGTTCTACGCCATTGAGAACTGGCAGTAAATGTAAAATTAGAAGCATTTAACATGTATTCTTGTTTGACGTTCGTAAGTGTACATTGTGTTACCTATAAGAATATATGAATATTTCTTAATACAAAATAATCGAAAAATAGAAAACCACCCTCATGTTCCACTGAGAAAAGAAAATGTCAAGGCAAGTTTTATCACTGAAACATAGAAATTGCAATACAATTGAAAGCAAGTCCATTTAAAAATCAATGTAATTTAATTATAACGAATAATGCTACGTAGCCAAAAACAAACATCCGCCATTTTGTCCCTCAAAAGGTTCCGAGGTTGGTTTAATTCTGAGATGACTGAAGCCCTTTCAACGCTGAATTTATCGGTATAATAATATTTAAATACTGATAAAAAGCGGGGAGACAAAGAATCCTCAAAAATGCTTCTTTCTTGGACAGTGTTATCATGAATTGTCAAAATTTCTAAGCCTAATAAATAAAGAGAAATAGATAAGAATCCTAAATATAATTCAGATTATTTTAATTTATAAAGCATAAGCCTTCGCTGAACAATAGAATGTAACAATTACAATTCCACTTCCATTATAATATAAATAAAATAAAGTTTACAGTAGAGCATTGTTCATTTCAAAATAGGATTTCACATTAATAAGATTCGTATTGCAACTCATTTTGAAATGCTTTTGTTTTTTTCATCGCAGCACAGAACTTGTCATGATAATGATGGTCTTTGTTTGTCGTTGTTCACGATGTATAGGCATTCATTTAAAAAAAATATCATCCATAAAATATGGTGCTTGCATTATAATTATAAGTGTACTGTATTTATTTGTAATTATTTTGAATGTTGAAGAGGTTTTTACACGCTTTACATTAGCTTCACTAGTATGTATGTATGTATGTAACCGACTCCTTCGGACTCGATTTTGACCCACTTTTAACGGACAGATTTAATTCAAACTTTGCGCACCTGTCAAAGATCGATGACAATGCATAACCCGAAAAAAAAATAAAAAAATAAATAATAGTTTAAAAAAACTAGAACACACGCTTTTAAAGCACATCAAACTAAAAAGTGAAAAATAATTCCTAATTTAGGCTGAAAATGGTAATGAACAAAAAATACTGGTATTATTGTGATAAAGCGTGGGGCGCTCTGTGCCATATTTTTCGTCTATCGAGCAATCATACTATTATTTATTTAAGTTTAAATGTATTATGTTTTGTGGGTAGATTTTTAAGTAATATACCTACTATTTGATACATGTCTTACCTCCTATTTCCATACACAATTTACTCACAAATTTACTATGACTCGTACTTTGTTCTATAGAAAAGTCTACGTCTCATAGCAATTACGACTCGGATATGAAAACCAGAGATTAGTATCGTATAGTGTACTCAATATCATTAGTACAAACAAGGGTACAATTATTCAAATTTCGGGGGAACACAGAGTTGTTCGCGAAAAGAAAGTGACTTATGATAGGTCTTTTGTCCCCTACGCACCCTACCTACTCCTACAGTCTTCATCAGACAAACACAATAATAATTATTAAGTCCCTTTTATAATTTGTTTACAGATAAAATACCCGCAGCACAGGGACTCGGGAATCTACGAATGTCAGATATCAACTACTCCACACATGAGCCATTTCATACATTTAAATGTTGTCGGTAAGTTAAATCATTATTTAAAATAATACAAGTTAACTTGATAATAAATAAAATAAATCAGTGGCGCTACAACCTCTTTAGGTCTTGGCCTCAGATTTCAGAATCTGTTTCATGATCATTATTAAATCTAATAGGCAAGTAGGTGATCAGCCTCCAGTGCCTGACACACGCCGTCGACTTTTTAAGTCTAAGATATGTCGGTTTTTCTCACGATGTTTTCCTTCACCGTTCGAGCAAATGTTAAATGCGCACATAGAGAGAAAGTCCATTGGTGCCCAGCTGGGGATCGACCCTACGACCTCAAGGATGAGAGTCGCACGCTGAAGCCACTAACCAATTCTGCTCTCCGGTTTACTTAAACACGTACAAATATAAATTATAGCTATACTTCCTACAATTAATAATATATATGGCAAAAAATTAAGCGTTCATAGTCCACGAGACTACAAAACAATTGAAGGCTGACATATGAAGTGCGATAGTTACTGTTAACGAATAAATTCCACGTAAAGAGGAAGTTTTCCACAATGTCAACAATATAATTTGCCATATGTTGAAACTATATGACAAACCAGCCGTCTAATCCAGACTTAAATAATTTATTAAGGGATAAGAAACCCTAGGTTGGTTGCGGGTTGTTGCCCGTCTCAGACAATATTATGAAATATTACTTTACATTTATGTTTCATCGTTGAATCTGAATAGAACCAAACTGTGTTAGTTATTGCATAATAATTTATGTAAAACTTTTAGATTTTTTTAACCATTTTCTTTATGTATTTTTTTTAAACATATTATTAAAACTATTATTTCTAGGTGAAAATAATATTATTTCTTTTGCCGCAAGACGTATTAAAAACTGATTGATACATTAATTAATACATAGTAATTATAAAAGCATATTTAAAAATGTTCTGCTAGAATTAAATTTTAATTAATATTGGGCTCGAGCTGTTATTTTCGTAATTTATTTTTGACATTAAGGTTAATGATTTTCTTAAGGTTATCCCAAGTTTTCATATTCAATACATGACATTTGCAATTACTCCACTGTGGCAATATTACAAAGCGCTTTTGACTCAGAAGTTGAATGTTTTCGTTTGAACAAGAAAACTAATTAACTCGGCTATATTGAAGACACGCACATCGTAACAAAATACACATAATAGACCAAGTTTTACATTGCTATTTTATTTGGTAGGATTTTATGAGTTTAGTTTGTTTAGAACTTAATTACACTAACTTATGTCTTTAATTAAACTTATTTGAAGATAAAACAACAATTATTTGATGCGTTTGTGCATTTAATAAGGACTAGATTATTATAAATTTAAAATTATGTAAAGTAATTATTAGTTTATAATAATACATAGCTTCAATCCATTAAAAAAGTGTTTTCTTTAAATGTGTAAAAGTTATGTTAAAAAAAGACAAAAAAATATGAACTCACCGTAGTAAAATTTTTAGTCGCGAAACTATGGACCAAGTGTTACTTGAATCTTTCAATGTTAACGAATTGTCAAAATATGCAATATTGTACAATTAATAACAACTTCTGAAATATTTATTAAAAATAATTAATTTAATAAGAATAATATTCATCAGCATCTTAGAGTAATATCGTGACGTAGGTATGTTTATCATTGTTTGTTCCAGACAATCCACGCAATTTTTAGTCTAAACCACTAAAAGCACGACCTTCATAACTGCTAAAATATCGACGAACATAGTAAATAAATATATCAGTAACCACGTTATAATCCGCCATCGTTAAGACTGTTTACTGCTAGTCGTTTATTATCAAGTAATAAAATTCCGAGTCGACCGCCGCGCCCGCAAGAATAAAAAAGGTCTGAATTCATACAACGAAAGCAGAATCTAGCATTTTATTTTAATGTGCACTTTATGGTTCTAAAAGACAATTTAAAATGCTGAAAGTATGAATAGTAATAAGAAAAGTCAATATAAAAGAAAGTCTTCCAGCAAAGTGAACAGTTTAATGGGAGTTAGATTAAAGGCAGTAATTGAATCCGGTTAGATGATTGCTAAAGATATTTTGCTTTGCGGTCTTCACTGAGCACTCAGAGATGATGGTTTGGTTTTAAGAGCTGGTTGAGAATTGTTAATGGATTAGTTAATCTATATATCAATTATAATATATTTTAAAGATATCGTATAGTCAGGCTTACCCTGTTACCTTCAATAGCAATTTCATTTCCATGTACCAAATTATTTTCTATAGTCTAAGTTCACAAAGATGAAGCAAGAATATTATATGTAAATGTTTTGATGTTTAACCTACAAATAGCAATATCCAATATAACATAATATATATATATATACGGAATATTATAATAGGCATAATATTTACATAGATAATACATATTAAACTAAGACTCGGTTATTGTGCTTTCTCTCGAACCACATTGCGCGAAACACGAAAACTACTAGATATAATGACGGTCGTCGGCAAGCAACTTCGATTTATTATATGTGGTTATTACTCTTGAATCATTCTTTCTATTAATAAAGCAAAAGTCGATTCCTCTTAATCATGATAATTAAACATTGAAAGCACAAATACACATTACTGTTTAAAGTTTGGTAGCTTTATATGTGGCTTAACTATTTCTGGATAAAAGAGATCAACGTTTGACACTTAGGGTTCGAACTGGGCTAAGTTCTTCACGGACCTCATTTTACTTCTAAGAAAAGGTTTCGAAGGTAACTTGATTTAGTTTATATACCAGTAAAAATAAGGGAAACATTTATTTGATTACCGATATATTTAATATAATAAAACATATTTATTGGTATCATTGGACTTTTTCTTGCCCAAGGTAGAAAATACATTTACGCGTGCCTTCCACCAAACTACACAATATATAAATAAAATAAAGGATATAGCACCTGAATTTATTTAGGAGAGATACTATTCAAAGTTCCGGGTGAGCTATACCCACTAAAACCACCTCGGGTTGGGAAATTTTATTACAACTCACAATTATAATTAAATATATACATCATATTTTAACCAACTCCAAAAATAATATATAATATATGTGTATGATATATTTAGGCCTTCAAGCCTAAACGCGTGCTAAACTTAGTAAGTGAATGTGTTTGTTCATTTCTCGGAAACTAAAAGTCACAGAGATAGAAAGAAAAACAAGTAAGAGATATATATACCTTTCTGGAGGGAACATTATACAGGGTGGCCAAAAAGTCGTGGATCAAGCTCAAATAGGGGATAGATGAGGTCATCAGCTGCAAAAAATTGTGGATTTGCGTTTGATTCACGACTTTTTGGCCAACCTGTATATAAATAACTAAATTACTTTTCAGTTAACAGGTATTACAAAAATACCCAATATTAATTGTTCGTCTAAGACACGATTAATTTACCTTGAATATGTCCCATTCAAACTAACACAAATAAAACAGGACTACTTCGGTTAACATCCACATTTATATGTTAATAAAGTTCGTATAAACCAGAGCATTGCGGTTTCACCTCAGCAAAGGTATCTAGAATCCTTACTTTACCAGAACATATTATGTTAGATAATAACATTCAGTAATATTATATAATATCATCATTCATTATATACCAAGACGTTTTGAAACACTGTTTAAAGTATTTAAAAAGCGATTCTTAGATAGTATATTTAATAAAGAAGTAAGTACATGTAGCCGCACACACGACGATTAAGTTATTGTTTATATGGTATATATGAGGTAGAATTGTATATTTATAGTTCCAGAAATTTTTGTTTTCATTAAAATAACTTTTGGAATAAATTATTATTTTGTAACCTTTAATGAATGACTCACAGTGTAGCGGTTGTGTTGGTTCGTTTTCAATTACAGCTTACACACTTGAAACGAACCGAATGGGATAAGGGAAATCATTGAAGTGAAACTTCTTTATCGGGGTTGGAAAAAAATTTAGTGTAACATTTTTGCGTTACGCGTTACATTTTTCCGTTACGCGCCATGTTTCTTTTTGAAGTCAAACTTCTTTATCGGCGTTAAAATATGACATATAGTATGTTTTTGACTTTGAAGTTTGACAACGGATTACATTTTCGACTTGAAATTTGCAGCAATTAATTTGTAAATTGTATGCTAGGCAGTGTATCAAAATTTACTGTGTTTAAAGAAATAGTTTCGGACCTCTAAACTAAAAAAAACCAATTATGGCTCTGCGTACAACAAAGGTTTTATATAAGTTTCACTTCTTACGTGTGTACACCTAGTACACGCACACATTTTTTATTTTTATTTATCTCTCATAATATTTTTTATTTAATTTTTTTCTTTGATTATTGTTATTTTGTGTTTATGTGTGTGTGTTTTTGTTTGTAATAAATAATATGTCTATGTCTATTTCGAACCAATGAGGTCTTATTCGTAAAGCAAAGCTTCACCTTCTACAAGTAAGAAACAGTAACTTGGTATACAGCGCGCAATACTAGGATTTTTGATACAAACTTTTTACTTACGTTCAATATTTTGATAGACTCCAGCTACCTATTGGAACTCCAATCAACATTACTCAATACAACCTAAATTAAATGGCTGAAATCCTCAGTGTCTTGTTAACGAAGATAAAAAGCTCTAGCTAAGCTCTTAATAAAACTTGACAAAGTTGAACTGAAAAGCCTGTGTTTTTATTCGTTTCCGATTGCAATTGTTCCAGAGCCAACGACGGAGATAATTGGCGGGCCGGAGCTGTATATTGATCGGGGCAGCACTATAAACTTAACATGCGTAGTGCTCTACTCGCCTGAACCACCAGCGTATATTTTTTGGAACCATAACGATGCGGTCAGTGCAATTCATATTTTTTTTTATGTAATAGGAGGCAAACGGGCAGGAGGCTTACCTGATGTTAAGTGATACCGCCGCCCATGGACGCTCTTTTCTTGAAGGACCCTAAGTCGAATTGGTTCGGAAATACTTCTGTGAGCAGCTGGTTCCACATAGTGGTGGTGCGCGGCAAAAACTGCCTTAGAAAACGCTCAGTTGTGGAACGACGGACGTCGAGGTGAAACGGATGATAATAGCTTCGAAATCATTTGATTTTTCCCAACAAATCCTCATCACACTGCACATTTCAATTTGATTAGCAATCATTAATTTTCTCACACAATTCACCATCAAAATTAAACAGAAATAGACTCCTAAAGAATTATAATCTATAGACCTCAAGTCCTTACTGAAAAGTGTTGTTAATTATACGTATACGTTTTAACAGATAATAAGCTATGACTCGCCGAGAGGTGGCGTGTCAGTTGTGACAGAGAAAGGTGAGACGACAACATCGTTCCTTCTCATTCAGCAGGCGAGGCCTTCTGACTCGGGGACCTATCAGTGTAACCCCAGCAATGCCCAGTCGAAGAGCGTGGTGGTGCACGTACTAAATGGTGAGAACTTAGGAATAACTCAAATTTATTCTACTTAATGAAGATGACGAAAAATAATCTATTTTAATCAGGTGTAGTTCTCATTATATTATTTATAATGAGTTAATGGTCCAATACTAAAGTGTAGATAGGAAAATATGCCATATTTTGAAATATTAAGAAAATTTTTTATAGCTTAATATAATATCAGTTTGATTTATATGAAGCAAATCGTTTGTAAATCAATTTTATCGTAATGGGTCTTAATTGGAAATTGGATATTCTTTTGTTTATTCATATTAAACCTAAAATCTATATCTAAATAAATTTAAATTCAAAGAAAGTTTTAAAAACGTAATACGACCACTAAACAGATATCGTAATATTCTCTATATAACATCATAACTGAGGGTAAATCATGAAAATCACATAGAAATGAATTTCGTTTTCATAACCTGACTCATTTTGATTGTATCACTAATTTTCCTTGACCCCGCGTTGACGAGCAGTAAACAGGTCAAAGATAAAAGCTCCAATCTATTGAAAAAGCTGTTGATTTTCTGTCTACTAAAATATTCTTCAGGTCACGGTTTATGTAATGCGGTGTGTTCTCACGATTTCTGAATTCGTACCAATAGCGTTATAAACTATGTGTTCCTGGATATTTTTTATAGATACGTAGGCATGCCTGATATGTGTCACCTATTTTTGCATTATAGGCATTCTGGTTTTCTTCACTCAATGAGCTATTATTGTATGCATAGATAAAAATCAATTGTTAAAAAAGCCAGGCCTCGAACGCACGATCACAGGTTCGAAAGTAGTACTTAAATATTATTCATAAACAAGAAGAGTTTCTTGTTGTTTATAGTCTTAACGAGGTAATGAAACATACATCTTATCTAAATACTCGAGTACTCAACAATATATTATGATATATCTCTGAAATTAATTAAATTAGTAACAACATGATTGTTTAGAAGACTAAACGTCGTATTAATTTATCTATTTAATCGTCAATGGAACTTTTTATGTCGGCAAAGTTAAAGACAGTTTTAATGTTTGCCATAGAAGCAAATTCTATTTTTCCCCTATCAGGTGAGTATCCAGCGGCGATGCAGCGTGGAGGACAAACATTTTCGCCGCACACTCACTGTATCCTACTTGCTGTCATGCTTCTCTTAGCCGTGTCTTGACATCAAATGGTTAGAGGTTTGTAAATAGGTACCTAATAGCTATGCTGACCTTTAAGGATTATTTTTTTCTTTTTTATTGTTCTTTTGTTTAATTCCATCTTTGTTTGGCCTATAAGCCAATGTACGCTAAGGACTGAATAAGGTTTTTTTTATTTACATGACAACTGCATCTTGCCTGTGTTCTAAATGCCAGTTTTAATTGTGACGAGTCGTATATTTTTCTATTGAAAGCGTTTGACAGTCATTCTCATCAATGGAAAAATCTATGCTTGTTGATTCCGAGCAAAACTATATTTATAAACATTTGAATTGACGATGCTTCGTTGTACTTTTCTAATGCTGTGAATACTTAAAGGTCAGTAACGTTAATCTAATATTTATGCTATTTAATAGTGTGGGTTGTGTTGTACCATACATATAATTAACTCTCCGAGCAAGTAGCAAAAGTGCTTGTTACGTAGAATTGTAAATATCTATTCTCAATTTTTGTGTCTACTGTTTTCGTGTTTTCAACCAGTCCTTGATATTTTATATATAATGAGACAACATCGTACATAATATTTACATTTTACTTTTAATACAACATTTAAGGAAACACAAATATTAACCTTTTTCTAGTTATAATTTTATTGATGAAAACCTTCAGATTTTAGGATGTTAATATTAAACGATGTTGCCTCTTACATATTGTTACAAATGAAATCGTAGAATTTATTGAATGTATGATTAGAGTACACCGGAAAAGCAGCTGACAATACTATGATAACAGAAAGAGAATGTGCATGTACATACTATATGTTAAATATAATGATATACGAATCACTTTATTTAGCTTTATTTTTGGTCTAAGATGTAAATTGTAACTATAGTTATTATCATATAAACGTTTACTACTGTAAATATTATAATTAGAAGAATTTTTACAGGCTATCTCTCGTATTTTTTTATTTTTAAATCATGTGCTTTTAAAGGTCTGTAAATAAGTATGTGTAAATTAGCTAAGATAGTAAAATATATGAAATATTTAGGTAAACGATATATAATTTTAATAACGCTATTTAAATGTTCTTCCGAAACAAACATTCCGGTAGATGTAATCCCAGATCTTATTTCGATATTAAACTAGTCAATATTCGTTTATTTTATAGGCGTGCCCCGTCCTACTTTAAATCTGTGTAAAGTTAAAGTATAGAATTTCGAAGTGCTTTTACGACAGATACTGTCAATAAAATGTATTTTATGTTAGCATTGGTAGAAAACCCGATCTGAACGTAAATGTGCTTTAAAAGAAGTCTACAATCATGTCCCCTTACACTTTAATAATTTTTGTTTATCAATACATTGTTAATCAAACGCAGACGGCGGTATAATCGACCTTTACTCTTTGTATTCATTTCTAAACTAAATCATACACATCTGCGTTGGACGTAATTATAATTCTTTCGAATCGGTGTTAATTAGTAATTGATGAAGTCTTCGACTATGTAAATCAGATCTCCTTTAGTATTAACAAGTTATTATTATGTGAAAGTTTATTATTGTATACAATAACAATAGTATTGAGATTTGTTGTACGTATAATACTTGTGCTTATGCACGATATAAATTATGTGTATAATAAACATTATAAAGAAAATAATAAAGTTTTGAAAAAATAATTGCGTTTTAGTCAAACCGCTTTATCTCAGTACTTTAAATGTTGTTCTTCAGTTATCATTGGTGTTGATTGAACTAGGAACCAGATGGTTTTTATCATTTTAAGTTGGTTTTACCCATGGTACATCGTAAGTAAAGTAATATGGACGTTCAGTCATTATTTATTTTCTTAGGTACGTCATCAGTTCTTTCAGTATTACCTAAGCCTACCCTATATCTAATTGTCAACAAGATTGCTTTGCTATTAGTGTTACTTAAATATCTGTCATATAGTTAGAAATTACGGAGAATATAATAAACGCTTACGCACGTGGTGGAAAAGTAGTGTCTTGCGTCTAAAATTGTCTCGTAACCGCCTCCATTAGTGGTCGTACTTGAGACAGTAGAAGAGGCTCCACCCCAGAAAATAACGATTAAACAAATATCCATTAACGCACGAGCATTATAGATTCATATTACGCTTACAAAACTTTTGTTTACATGCGAGGAAATACAGAAAGCCGAATAAGAGATGGGCTGGACCCAGAGGCGCCTTATGAATATCTAATCGCGTTGAAAAGAGATGAAAGATGGCGTGCCTAATTTATGAAGACGTTTATTTACATTTTGCGTAGGCAGTTCGTTGGAGAAAATGTGATGTAAATTCGTTATAATTTGATCATTACTATATTATTTATAGAACATAATAAAAGAAACTGAGTTTATTAAAATCAAATTCTATTTGTTATAATGTTTTAAATTGTAGGTAAGTCTATATATAATAGGTTTAGTAGTAAACTGTATGGTCATTGATGTATTATAATAAAAAGTACTAACATTTTGTATTTGTAAAAGCAAGACTGCTCCGTGCAACCAATACCGATGTACTTACTTTCTTCGACAGTTTTCGTACGTTATCTCTCACCCATATGTCAAAAATGTATTGGATTATGACATACGGGAGGCAAAGTTCCCGCTAAAGCTTAGGTTTCCTAGAAAAGCGGTGCCGTTAACTAACGGCCGTCATTTTACGATTGTTAATGACGCCGTCAATACTTTTTAACATAAGGCAAAAAAACATCATTTTCGCTCGTCCAAGTCACGTTTCTACTCATTGTATTAATTAAATATGGGCACCGCTACACGCGAAAAACGTTGAACTAATGTTTATCACCGCTATGACGGCATCGCTATTTGACGTTACGGTGACACTCGACGTTCTCTAGGAAACCTACTCCGATGTTATTTATAGACAACGTAGGGATGACGTCACCCAACGCTACATTATGGCCGGTAGATAACGGCACCGCTTTTCTAGCAAACCTAAGCTTTAGGTTTAATTTCTGAATCACTCTTAGTTCTCGTCGTCACACAGTGAAAGCACGAGATTATTTTATTAAATTTAAAATAAAAAAAATTTGAGATACTATTAATCTGTTAACATAATTATTTAACTAGATTTTCTCTGCATCTTCAGAGGAGTTCCTCTGAACACTCTCCATGGTAAATGCGGACTAATACCTGCAGCTGAGTTTCACCATCGAACGTAAAGGCAGAATACAAAATACCATCCGTATCACCTTGATGTCCGTCGTTACACAACTATTCTTAAGGCAATTTCTGCCGCGCACCACCACTTTGTGAAACCAGCTGCCCACTGAAGTATTTCCGAACCAATTCGACTTAGGGTCCTTCAAGAAAAGAGCGTAGCAATTCTTAAAAGGCCGGCAGCGCACTAACGAGTCTTCTGGCAGTGCGAGTGTCCATGGGCGGCAGTATGACTTAACATCAGATGAGCGTCCTGCCTCCTGTAACATAAAACAAATTAAACCACTATAACAAAAACAACTTCAACAAACTTCGTTTGTTTGTACAGATCAACGTAAGAACGATGATCTGTACCATTCGTAACATGATTTTCAAGAAATGTTGTCTATTGTAAGCTATTAAAATGTACTTTTTGCCGTGTACAAAGTCGTTTGAAATTCTGATATAATGGGACCATCGGATTGTTACAGGCACATTACCTTCGCACGAGTGGCTTTTTACCAAATTGAACCGCGTGACTTGCTAAGTTAGGGCACGATTTAGGCTGCATACGGGCAATTTATTCTCATTTGAAGGCACCAGACGTCTCGTAGAATTGATTGAAGGCAAGAAAATTAAGTATTTCTTTTTGATGTCAACATTTAAGTAAGTTCGTAGTTTCAGACAGGTTACTATATTGTTACAAACTGATATTGAACATTGCTTTTGTAGTTAATCATTAAAATTGAATGGAATAGAACCTTTTAATTAGAATTAATTTACTAACTTGCCGGCCATGATTGAAAAGTTCTGAAAAGCTCGAAACGTCGCGTCAGAAGAATAACGTCAATTATTGTATCCGTTAAGGAATTTGATTTAAAAATAGCATAAAAAGTCACAATACGCCATAGAAATTGTCTTCATTTATTACCTAAATAACATCGACATATACAAAATATTTAATATCTATTTTTGGCTTAATCATAGAAAACCAAATATCACAACATGAACAAGCTTTTTTTTTTAGTATACTATAAATATTCCTATAGGGCAAACGAGCCTACGAGATGCCCGGCAGTCACCGCAACTTATGGACACCTATTTTAGTGGGTACGTTGCCGGCCTTTACAACTAAACTCAATATTGCAGGTGAAAACGGCTAAATAGAGCCACAAGGATTACGCTGCAGTTATCAAAGCTCAGTTGCCTGGCAAGTGCAACGACAGTGAATAATATATAGTCACGTATTTGTGGTACGGGACACTCAAGTTCTAACCGGACGTCTCACTGAAACCTAATGTAGGATACCTTCCTACCTTCCTTTACATTATTATTACCAGTAGACTAAGTAGTAGAAGAATGTGATCAGGGACTTCTCTGATCACTTTCTTTATAATCGCAATAACACACCGTTATAATCATAAAAAATGTGTACAATTGTAAATTACAAAAAACTAAATTATGGCAACTAACATGATACTTACAATAAGTAATCCATTTGACGATCCAACGATACGGTCAACCATTCTATAAATTAATGATTAACTCGACAATTAGGCCACGATATAATGCAAATTCTAATGGTTATTATAACATCGAATTAATACATTTCTAGTATTGTTATGTTGATAAATATAACCTAACAAAAATCTAAATGTCATCTGAATTTGGGCCTAAGTTTGCGCTGACAGTTAAAAGTGTGACAGTTTAGCTAAGGTTTCTATTTGACAACCAGATAACTAACTATTCAACGTGCAGACCATTCCAAGATAGACCAATATATAGGCTTCAAGTTCCACTAAAAAAACAAATAATTGAAACGTAAAGAATATATTGTT